AACATATCCTAAAACTAGCTTATCAGCAAATCTCGCTGCACTGCGCGCGACAGATACTAGAGCAAGGCATGCCAGAAATACGAAACCTAAAGCTTCCGAAAGGAAGCCTTGGACATCACGTGCGTCGGGGGACCAGCGCCATCTGATTGGCCGTTAACAGTTGTACAAGGCGGAGCAAAAAGCATCGTTTTTCCGTCCATTTTACGCTTGAGAAACTCGACCCTTTTCTGGACACTTTCTAGACGCTGACCAATTAATCAATTTTAATGAATTTTTAGTCGTTTTTCCGTCCAATGACCACATACGGAAAAAAACGACGTTTTCGTGTTTGCAGTGATGCTCTGCCCACATTTAGGAGCAGCTCATTAATTAGTGGGTAAGACAAGGCAGTTTCACTGGTCACACTTGACTGGTCTGTCTTGCGATTGGGTCGTCTGACAATTGGGAGTGAACCATGTGCACATTGTTTCATATTATCACGTTAACACTTCACCTAGTTCATAGGAGCTTTCGAAGTAATGATGAGACCTGGAAACCAGTGACTGACATTACGAGCATCGTTCTATGTCTTAAGGGTGCCATGACAAACAACCAAGCAAGCTTCCATGGTAAAAACGTTTGCAGTTTTGATTTCCACAGCCATTGATACAATGTTGTAAATACGGCAAAAAAACGCAACTGGTTTTGTTCTTTAAAATAATACACATGAAGATATACTGCACAAAGTCTCGCAAGAGGGGACCCGGCGTTCCTGTCGTCAGTGCAGAATTGCGATTACTGTCCCTCAGGCTCTACAGAAACCTATGGTCGTGAGTTCGAATCTTATATTTCCTTTGATTATGTTTCTGGGTTTGTCAGCACCCTAGCCGTTTTCATGGTTTTAACCAAACAGGAAAACGTAGTAGAACTGCCTTCTTCCACATCTTGCTGACGCGCCGTGATATTACTGAAATATTGTTCAAAGCTGCGTGAAACCAAACTCACTAACTCAGTCACCCTCACCTCACTCCCTCGTTCAATGTACAGCCATAGAGAATATGGTACGTTTGCTTCAGACTGTATCGACAAGTGAGGGAATTGACAACCTTCAAATTCAGGTCAGTCAATAAGCGAGACAAGCACTCAGGCAACTGTAGGGACAACTGAAGATTGACGTGACCTATTTGATAATACTGGGCGAGGAGAGCAGTCTTGCATTTGCACGTTATAGAACACTGTTTGTACTCCGCGCGGATATACATGATTGTGTTTCCGAGGGTATGTAAGATGCGGCTCGGTGAACAATTGTTTTTTCATGTGTTTGTGAGAGTACCACCGGTGAGGCAGAGTACGCTCACCTTTTCGCGGACTCCTAGTATCATCACTATTTGATAGTGATTCATAAACACATGCTGATGATATAGTCGTAAATGTACAATCGACTCTGTTTGTGAAAGTATTCTTATGAATATGGAAAGAGTTTTGTCACATTTATTTACATCCATTCTTCTTCCAACCTTTCGTTACCCTCCCTATGTCTTCATTACCGACAGTGTGCAAGCGGTCATGACACCATTCTTGTTAATCTTCCATCTAACCCCAAATGTAGTTACATGTACCGTATAAGCGTACCGTATCGACGTAACAAGCGCCCCGCTCTAAAAAGCGCCCACGGCTTTATTTGCTAATATATTCAAACGCAAGATGTTTTAAGCAAATAGGTAACAAACACGGAACCATAAATTGATACGAGTTTTGGCATGTAGTGAAGCCTGGTGGTGTTAACAATATTTTTGGTTGCATTTTAGACGTCTCGAGTAAAAACGCAACGTAAAAAACGAATCGCCAAAACGCACCATTTCAATGTGGTTATCATGCACCCATATCTCGCGAAATAACGAACTGTAGTGGGTATAAAACTGTGGCCGATTTTTGGACCTACTACTCCTTGGTCAACAATACCACGCCTAACTCAAATTCAGAGAAACCAGGCTATCGGACGTTTGGAAGTTGGAGAGTCTGTCCAAGATGTTGCCCGTCATTTCAACGTTAACATAACCACAATTTACCGTCCCCTGCATCGATACAATGCCACACAGACCACAGATGACCTTCCTCGGAGCGGTCGTCCTAGGGTCACCACACCTCGACAAGATCGGCAGATTACCCGTCAACACCAGCGACATCCGTTCCTAAGTACAAGTGAAAGTGCTTGAGAGACCATAGGGACACATAATCGACACATTAGCCGGGACACTGTGGTCCGATGTCTCCGTTCCAACAACTTCAGATGTTGCCGACCAGCACGTTGTCCTGTTATCCAACCACGGCATCGACAAGCACGACTTCAGTGGGCACAGGGTCATCACAATTGGCGTCATCGTGAGTGGAGGCGTGTCATCTTCTCTGGTGAAAGTCGCTTTTGTGTCTCCCATGCAGACGGAAGAGTCAGAATTTGGCGGCGTCGAGGTGATCGTTTCGCTGACAGAAACGTTGTGGAAAGGGATCCATGGAGTGGACCTAGCGTCATGATATGGGCAGGGATTGGATTTAATGCGACCAAGTGATCAGACCCCACGTTGTTCCATTTTTTGCACAACATCAACAACATATTTTCCAGCAGGACAACGCTCGTCCCCATGTTGCCAAGAGCTACCATGGGCTTTCTGCAACAACACAACATCCGTGTTCTACCGTGGCGAGTCCTGAGCCCCGATCTGAACCCCATCGAACACTTGTACGATGAGGTTCAAAGGCGTCTGCACAATGTGCGCCCAGTCCCTACAACTGCCGATGAACTACGCACAGCTTCTCTGGATGTGTGCAGGAGGATCCCTAGGGCCTCACAAATCGTCTGATCCAGTCAATGTACAGGAGATGTGTGTGGCAGTGATCAATGCTAATGGTGGTCACAACAGGTATTGACAGACATTTTGGGTATTGACCCGAAACTGTGTAAGCCCTTAACATTTGAAAAAAACAAACTATGTCATGTGTCTTGTAATCCATTAAACTGTCTTCAGTCATTTTTTTGTCAATTTTGCCCTATTAGTATTTCTTGTCTTTACTGTTGAAAATAAATAACATGTATACTGCATAATCGACTTGCGTTTCTTTTGCATGTGAGTATAAATATACAACCCCAATTAGCACCCCCTCTGATTCATCAGTGTACACAATATTTATTTATTCGCGTATTTATTATGCACTCGTGTGTTCTATGCATCCTTAACTATGGACAATTAAATTCTAAAAAAAACTTTCAACAAGTGGTTTACGTCTTACTTTCTATTTCCCAGATGAATCCAGACTGACAGACAAACAGGAAAGCACCCAACGTCTCCCTTGACTTCTCACTGAACTAATTACATGATAGTTAAAATGAAGTAGAATTTAGCTGGGTGTAGGGTGTAGAGTCATAACTTGTTTGCTTTCATCACACTCAGGCGATGCGAGTCCCGCTCCATGCAGGGTTGCGGGCCGCCACGCACAGTGCAGAGCTGTGACAAGGTGGTAGAGTGGTGTAGAGAGCTCAGCGAACGGGATAGCGCTACGAGGAGATTGATCCTACGTGCAGTCTCCCGTTTGTGTGCCATCGGCGAACACGCGTGCAGCTGAGACGTTTCATGAAGTCGGGTGCACTTCAGTGCCGTAGCCAGGCGGATTTTTTTTAATAGAAAACAGTTTTATATCAATCATGAAAATACATGAAAAGTTGGAGACAAGTGATACTTGTACCAATATTTGTCACCTATACCCATGCTGCCCTGTTCGGGGCTCAAGTGCACACGTGTGAATGAGTGAGACATTGAGTAATAGTCCTACCGTATCACGAGTCTTCACGACAGGGTTTCGCACACTCACTATAAACTTTAATTATCATTATAGGTTACACGCAACCAAATGTTTTCCCATAGACTTCTGTAGTAACGTTATATGTTTTTTATAAATAACTAAGCATTCAACAGCTATTACCTCTACATGTGTGCACAGTTTGGCCTTAGAGCAGCAATAAAAACACAAAAAAATGACTAGCTCAGCCAGCTCCTTTTCCGAGTACAGGAAGCTAAACACACCACCCCCAGTTTCGCACCAAATGTCACCTACTTGAAAATAGTTGTGGTCATATTCAGCATAAGTCATCATGTTGAAAAAGACAGTACTAAATATAGAAAAACATGGTCAGTTTTAATAACTGGATGGATGTACATTTGAAAGACAAGAAAATCTTACAGAATATCCTCCATTCACAGCCTCCAGATATCTCTCGATCTGCACATGGATCCCTACGAAAACCGCACTGTAGAACCTTCATACTGCAAATATGTTTTATCTTGTTTTAAATGTAAAGCATTTATATAATTGACATTGATATTATATCAATTACACAATCACATAAATCTTCATTTCGTAGTTAATTAATAAAACCTATTGAACCAGACATTCAATTAAATTAAGTACGAAATAATGTTTCTTTGGTACGAAATTCGTTGGGTCCTGCTGAACTAATACGTCCTAACATATGTCATTGAATGCCAGGCCCATGCGCATGGTGGCTCAGAAAACTATGTTCTCATTTGGCAAAACAAACAAAATGCCATTATGTTTTTTCTTATTTTTCACATTTAGACTCTCCTAAATGAGCTGTAGCTGACTGCTCATATGTGCACGACCCGTGAAGATTCCGGGGTAGAATAGGTTTTCAGCAACCTATACTTGCCGTAAAAGGCGGCTATGCTTGTCGTAAAAGGCGACTAAGGGGATCAGGTGGTCAGGCTCGCTGACTTGGTTGATACATGTCATCGATCCCAATTGCATGGATCGATGCTTATGATGTCAATCACTGCACTGTCTGGTCCAGACTCGATTATTTAAAGATCGCCGTCATATAGCTGAACTATTGCTAAGTGCGGCGTTACACAACAAACAAGACAACAACAAAAACAACATAGATAAAATAAGATGTAAGTGCAATTATCTTCAATACGACATTAAACCCAGTTTCATTTCATCTCGCCTCACTTCATATCACTGGCGTCAGATCAATATGAGGCAACTCAGTCAACTGCGTGTTGTTCTGCGAGCCGTGACGATGACGTAAGGACAGCGTAGCCCGTTGGAGTATAACACAGAACACTCGTTTCTTCAACTTACACTCCCTCTCAACGGTGAGTTGTCTTTAGCCTTCTTTTCTGTTCAATGTTTGACAATTCCATAATGGTAGAGATATTCCTCGAGTGTTTTGCCTGTATTTGCCTTAACCCCTGAGTGATTGCCTTATTTGCCTTAGTCCCCCTGTGTCTGCCTTATTTGCCTGTGTTTGCCTGTATTTCCTTTAAACCCCAGTGGGTTTGCCTGTATTTGCCTTACTCCACTGGTATTACCCATGTTTTCCTTAACCACGAGTGTGTTTGCCTTAATATCCCAATGTGTGTTCCTGTATTTGCCTTAACCCCCTAGTGTTGTCCGCATTTGTCTTAATCCCCAAGTCTCTGCCTTATTTCCCTGTGTTTCCCTGTATTTGCCTTAACCCCAAGTGTGTTTGCCTGTATTTGCCTTAATTCCCCAGTTATTCCCTGTATTTGCCTTAACCCCCGAATGTTTGCCTTATTTGTCATAATCCCTCAGTGTCTGCCTTATTTGCCCGTGTTTGCCTGTATTTGCCTTAAACCCCGAGTGCGTTTTCCTGTATTTGCCTTAACCCGAGTGCGTTTGCCTGTATTTGCCTTACTCCCCTGGTATTACCTTTGGTGTTTTCCTTAACCCCGAACGTGTTTGCCTTAATATCCCAATGTGTTTACCTGTATTTGCCTTAACCCCCGAATGTTTGCCTTATTTGCCTTAAGCCCCAAATGTCTGCCTTATTTGCCTGTGTTTCCTTGTATTTGCCTTAACCCCCATTTTTTTCCCTGTATTTGCCTTAATCCCCTAGTGTCGACTGTATTTGCCCCAATCCCCATTGTCTGCCTTATTTGCCTGTGTTGCCTGTATTTACCTTTAACCCCAGTGTATTTGCCTGTATTTGCCTTAACGCCCCAGTGTATTTCCCTGTATTTGCCTTAACCCCCGAGTGTTTGTCTTATTTGTCTTAATCCCCCAGTGTCTGCCTATTTTGCCTGTGTTTCCCTGTAGATTGCCTTAAACCCCAGTGTGTTTGCCTGTATTTGCCTTAATCCCCAGTGTGTTTGCCTGCATTTGCCTTAATCTCTTAGTGTTGCCTATGTTTGCCCTAATCCCCCAGTGTTGCATGGAATTACCTAAAACCAAAGCCTAAATTCCCAGTTTGGTCTACAATGATAGCAGAAAATGAATTCCCTCTACTGGAATATTGGGATTTCTCGACATTACATTACATTCCTTTGTAATAAAAGTAGTCCTCTTCGGTGGGAAATGGATTGAATAGCACCAGACTAATTCAGTTAATCAGAATGCAGGAATTACAATGAACACAACGAAAATTTAATTAACAAAATAATAATTCAAACTCGTCAAAAGTTAATACCAAACCGTGTGTGAGAGCTGCATCACTGCAGTCCTCTTTAATCATGTCACAATGTGTTAGTGCCTTGATACGATTCTTATTACTCTTGTATTTTGAACGTGTGTGTGTGTGTTAAAAAAACACATTCCATAATCATATGTGTTAAAAAAACACATTCCATAATCGTAAACATGTATTTATGAATTATGGACCTTTAGTAGACCGTGCAACATTCAAAAAAGCACTATGATTTTGGGAACTGAACGCAACAAAAACATTTTAATTATCACAAGAATTCTCTACTACAATCCATTGTGCGATTCTAACTACAACATGACCATGTGTTCATGAAGCACTATCAAATTGAGATAATACCAAGTGTTTCGGAAAAGGTGAGCGTATTTTGCCCCACCGATTGCATCTGTCACAGTCTCATTCACAGGGTTTGCAAAGGTCGAAAACGACTTTTCCTAAAGAGAGGTGATTTGACTGACCCTAAACACTTCCGTCCTATTACCTGAATACATGGTATTAAATATTTACAGGGTGTCTCACTGATCTTGTGTCATCATTCTGCGCTTCCAAAGAAGTATACTAGCCACATAAGGAAACTGTGCACGGAGAAAATATAGATATAAGGGCACACCGTCCACATTTGAAATATAGGTTTGAACACAGCAATTATTGGAGACATTCAAACGCTCATGCACGTGCCGTGCGATATGACGTCATTGATGGGGGCCTATGGACGTGCAATGTGTTACTGCACGTGCATCCTGTGCAGCTGTACACAGAAATGTTGTCTTTACAGATGAATCGAGGTTCAACATTTCCCACAGTGACGGGCGCCAACGTGTCTACCGGCGTTTGGGAGAACGTTATGCACGCAACTGTATTGTGGAGAGGAATCGTTTTGGAGGTGGCTCTGTGATGATTTGGGGTGGGATAACAGCACGGCACCGAACCCTTTTGTGGTTGTTCAGGGCAATCTCACCGGTGTTGGCTACAGAGATCAGATTCTGAGGCCTGTGGTCATTCCTTTCCTGCAACGTCATGGTCCGAGATTGACATTTCAACAGGAAAACGCTCGTCCTCACACGGCTAGGGTCGCAATGGATTTCCTTCACCATAACAATGTCATGTTACTGCCATGGGCTGCAAATTTTCCAGATCTCTCCCCAATAGAGCATGTGTGGGATGAAATGGAGCGCCGTCTGCGTCGTCTTCCACATCCTCCAGATAACGTCCGTGACTTGGCACAGGATTTGAGGAGGATATGGCAGGCCATTCCCCAGGCCTTCCATGCCCATTTGGTGGACTCAATGCGTCGCCGATGCACTGCTGTGATTCACGCACAGGGTGGTCATACCCGTTATTGACTTTGTGACTTTGTCGTTTGACCCCCTATTCCATTTTGATCTTCTGACGTCATCGTAGCAGATGTTGTTCAGGTCCCGTTGACATTTTCTTATGGTCCGATCACTCAGCTGCTACAGCGCCTGCATCATTTTGTTCTTGCTGTGTTGTATTTCAATCCAGAATATATCTTCTCCGTGCACAGTTTCTTTAAGTGGCTAGTATATTTACATGGACCAGAAAGGAGACAGAAAGGGATGCTGGGGGTTTAAGGATCATGGGCTAGTTCAGAAACTGATCCATGAAGAGGCTAAAGCCTACCAGCGTGTATGTGCTTGCGTGCGTGCGTGTGTGCTAGTGCGTGTGTTCGTGTAGGGGTGAGGGTGGGGGATGAGAGAGTGTGCGTAAGAGTGTGTTTATGTGTTTATGTGTTAGGATTTGTGTGTGCGCCTGTGTGTGTGCCTCTGTCTCTGTGTGTCTCTGTGTGTCTTGAAAACGACAAAAGCCATTCCATAATCCCATGATAGCTATGCTAAAGTCCTTTATGTGATTTCTACATTATGGTAAGCATATGATAATGAAGTAAGTACCTTTAGTAGACCAGGCCACATCCCAAAAAGCACTATGACTGTGGTAAATAAAAGCGACAAATGTAGATTTAAGAAAATCTGGAGTTCAGAGCTGAACGCTCGCAAAAAAGTTCAAATAAGAATTCTTACGCTGTACCCGTCCTTTCGTATTCTTTGGGTGTTGTTGTTTTGACGAAACATGACATTCAGGGTAATGACACCCTCACACGAAGAATCAAGTGAGACAAAAGATCCCACCACACTCTTCCCTCAATAGGGAATTTACCAATTATAATGGGAGAACGTGGTTTGATTAACGTAGAAGCTCTTCATGATAGAATTGTTATTTATTTATTTGATCATCCTCTTGTGAAGCATGTCAAGACTCCTAATGAAAACAAGGCATTCCACAGTTTTCTTAAACAAGCCCAGGTTTTAATCTGAATGTCAATGTTGATGGTTCTGTACTGCTGGACGGTACAGAAATGAGTGTCAACAAATTAAAATGCCATATCAAATCGGACAAGACTCCTTTTTCAAAGAGAGGCTATCTGAACAACCACTGCATCGCGTTTATGTGCAGTGTGTTGTTAGGATCAGGAACCCTGCATAGTCATTCACTTGGATGAAGTCGGCTGGCCTGAAAAGTGAAACAGAAGTCATTTGTTTGCTGCTCAGGACCAGTCACTTCCAACTTCAAACCGACAGTGTGTTATTTTGCATAAAAAATGGTCATGTTCATATTCGTTCGTAAGAATGTCTGGTATCTGTGACCAAACTCACACTGATCATGACAGTAGCTGCTTCACTCTTCTCATTAACGCGTACTGTGAGAGCGCGACCCATATGTTCCTTGAGACGTCATGTGCACGTCACCCGTTAATAGATCCTCATTGATACAAAGCATGTGATATCGCCTTTGATACCCGTATCAAATTCGTCGCCATTGAATATCCATTTCTTGTTTGTTTCATTTTAGCCACCTTCTAAACATGGGTGTATTCTCTTTTGCTCGAAAGTTTAGAACATAAGATAATCGAAATTTTGTTTACTGTTTGCTGCACCGAGCTATGCCATTGTTGCAAAGTTTATTGCATATTTTACGCGTGCTATAGCTTGATGTTCGAAATAACCGAGTTCATAAACATCGTATGTGCACTAATGCCAGTATCACTTCTCGCGCATTGTTTCCGTCATCCCGACGGCATTCTTGACGTGATTCGAATCTCATTGTGACGTAAGGATGGAATGACGTCATACCAGAACGATGTCAGGTTGTTGAAGTCATTCGACAAATTGTGTTTTTCTAGGACAGCGGTGGTGATCAGTGAATTTTTCTCTAAAGGGGAGCTTAAAGGGCTTAAGAAATAATGGCGAATAAAGAAATTACTACGCGCACATGTTTGTCATGGTGGTTTAACGAAACTCGCTTTCGCTTGGCAAATACAATAATTCTGACACTCGTTTTGTAAGACCAGTATGACACACAAGCTCGTATAATAACCTCTATATATGCAATAAGTCAGTAATATAAGATGAATATCGTATTACAAGTAATAAATAATGTGCTGACATTTCAAGATCACTGTGAAACAACATATACGAAAATTGTCAATATCCGGGAGAATTGAACCACGTGACTCACTGTATAAGCACACGACATCAGTGCGCCTTGACCAGGCCTATTAGTGTATGTGTCCTACTCAGTCGATGAGCCGCCATAGACACACGTACAGTGGATGTAAAGGTAATATAAGGTACTGTAAGGTACGGTAAGGTACTGCTTTGTAAATGTTTGCGTCAGGGTCGGAACACTGTAGGGATTCCAAGTCAGACCCGCTCAAGATTGGCCAGTTGATTGTATCTCTTATCAATCTTGTTAAATACCCTTGACACATGTGTCATCATAGCTTCGTTTCAGAAGGGACGTCACCACTGCATCGATTTAGCATAGAATTTCAATCGGGCTATGATAGCGAGTTGGTCAATATCAAGGCGGAATGGAGATAACACATTGGATAATTCAGGATGGGTCAGAATTGGGCCACAGCTCCTTGTATTGGTTTGACAGGTCCGGACGCGATTATTTACATTTAAACCAGGGCACGTTTGTCTTTGACCGTTGTCTTACCAACTGAATTGTTACTAAGTGAATTGTTAGTTGAACACCACTTGGCAATGGCGGAACTTCTTTTTTTCCCTATCATTTGTCTTGATGATAGAACAATTTCATGAAAATCTTGGTCGCCAGCGGGATTTTAACCCGCGAAGTCCGCACTGAAGGCAAACGAATGTAGTCTTCTACCATGGCGACATGGGAGAAAGGGTATGAAATTGACAACTAAATATTTAATGACATCAGTACCAATTGTTTTTCCCTTTATGAACTGCGAAATGTGTTTTATGCAATTTTTATACAGTATGTTACTCTATGCATTCTAGTATTTGAACAATACTTGTGATTTTGTAGCTTCTCGTTCAAACGAACAGATAGAAAAGACATTACTATTATCTTGATCAGGGCTATATTTGCTCATAATAGCCACATCAACATGGGCAAGTAATAGTTAGTTGATTGATAAATGTGTTCGAGTTGGTCCAAAATGAATGGTATACTTGCCCCGGGACATGCATTTCATTACCCAAATTGGCAAAGTGCGAGGTGCACGTGCGAAAGGCTCGGGGGACACATTTCACGTGCTTAACACGCAGGGCCGACTCACACAGTGTTCTCACAGGTGAGCTCAGAGTTCCTGAATATCTTTCAAAATACCTTTAACAAAACAATGTGTTTTAAGCATTGTAGGTGCAATAAATGTTGGACACGGTTTAGGAATGTTGGACCACTCGGCGCGCCTCGTGGTTTAATTGACCATTTCAACGATTAGACACTGGGTCCTCGTCGTCTGACCTATACTTTGTTCCTCCGCCACCCGTGAATAGATGACTCTTACAGGTGGTGTTGTTGAGACGTCAAAGTGGACACGATTTTTGGATAAAATCTTTAACAGGCATTTCTCCGAAGTTGACAGATGACAACGTTTGACAACGGAGACACAATTTATCAACTTCTATACTCAACAAGAAAAGTTCCTGTGACACCAATATTTAAGTGTATTTTTCAAACAAGTAAAATTGGGTTTTCAATATTATAGTACATGTATGGAATCAAGTCACAAAAACGCAACTGCTACAGAAAAGCATGCATTCTATGCAAAAGTTGACTTTTATGCAAGCCCAATTCATTTCACTACACAAGAATGGATATAAAAACACGCGCTTTAACGAGATTCCATATGCATTGTTTAGCATCGTGCTGACAACAACCACTCAGAAAAACAACAAAATTACGCAATTATTCAACATTACGAATTGCCACGCCTGTCCGAAAATGAGCGTCTGCAAGACAATTTAACGTCCACAGAAACAACATTTGATGTTTATGGCAACGGTGGCAATAGACGAATGCAGTCAGAGACCATCCTCGGAGTGGTAGGCCACGCGTAACCAAAAATCGGATTCGAACAACACACCTACCAAATCGATTCCAGCCAGCAACAATGACTAAAAGTCACGACGAAATTGTTTCAGATTTGGTAAAAAACAGAAATTTGCATTAAATCTTATTCAATGTCACAGGAACTTTTGTTGTTCAGTATAGATGTGTTAATTATACATAATTGTGAAGATATGAAAATGCACTTACCACTACATAACAATCAGATTGTCATGGCAAACAGTTAATGAAACTTTCACGTCTTTCTGTGCTATTTAAATTATCTATATGGTCACAGAAAGTATTAATTTCATGTTAGGGTATCTATTGATGCAGGATGAACAAACCATGAGGGGCGCAGCAGTGTTTTATTGTACGATAAACAACGACTATGAGTCGTCTATTTCTTGTATATGATATCAACATTATGAACTGCCTCTTAAAGGATGTTGATAAACTGTACAAGCTTTAAAGATATTTACCCAAATGTTAATAATAATAACTCCCTGAACAGAAACTGACTTCAGAAATGTCAAACAAGTTCATTTTACGAACAGGATGGCTAAGTTTGGTATTTCATGCATATTCTCACAATCTTCACGTCGACTATCTGTACCATTTCTCCTAATACAGATTGTCCTGTCTCCCACTTTTGGGTGTGATCGTTCTGCCACTACCTCTATCTGTGTAGCTCAGCTACATCTGGGGGAAACAACTCACTGGACACTTCCCTAAAAAATCATCCAATTTGAGAGCACATATTCGATTCACAGAAATGACGTTATGATAAAAGAATGTTTTATCGTGAAATAAGCCACGCTTTGTTCTTCATTGTTCTCTGTGACATATTGAGTAACTATCTTATATCTATAATTAAGTGTATGCATAAAGATGTGATAGACCTTGGCATGGTCTACGTGTTGGATGTGGCATAACTTTCCAAACAGTGAGTTCATATTCCATGCATTTGAGGTGTATAAGGAATGAACTGCTATAAAATAAGTTGTCAAGAAATAAGGGGATATAACTCTAAAACTATTCTTCTGGGGTGGACAATGGACCTGTTTGGGCAGAGTTTGGTGTCTTGCATTATTCTTAAAACAATGCTTTCTCATTATTCTTATTGTGTACTGAGGTGAATACATATTTAATGAAAATATTAATTGCATTATTTCGGTACTAAAATCTGGTTTGTATTTTTTAAGATGAGTGAATAAGCCAACTGTAACAGAAGTATACAAGAGTTAACCCTTTCATTCAAGTAACAGGTAATTCTCAACACCTATCAAAGTCATGTATCCCGCAATGAGTGTATATTTCATTCTATTTTTGATGAAACCTTTTTCCTTGGTAGATCTTATAGTGGTCTTCTTTTTATTCATCAGAAGGCAACATTACACAATCGTCTTGGATCCCTGTTCCTAATTTAGCAAATTTTCAAAATGGGGGCTCACTCAATTCGTCGCGCCACTCATGACGACTTCGATGAGTTGATGCAGATTGGTGATGTGTACCAGGGGATGGACTATCTTGGGCATCGCTACCACACTTACATCGACGACCCAAACAACAGATCATACGTCTACGTGATAGCAGATGAAATTGTAAGTAAAGGTTCCACAAAGTCGTTTTTCGCTGAAAACTGCTATGCTCTATTCTACATCCGTTAATATTTATGAACATTACTACGCTAGTGTGTCAGGTTATTTGTACCAATGGCGAGTATTATAGTGTCTTGTAGGGTGGTATTGTTAGACTGTTCCTAGTTGCACTACGAGTCCCCTGTGGGAATTTCGGTTCAAATTTTGTCCCCAGCAACCTATTCTTTTCGTAAGATACTAATTAGTGGATCGGGTGGTCACGATGTGTCATTTGGTTGATGGCATGTCATCTACCCTGATGGCGTCGGAGATCAATCACTGGTTGTCAGTTCCAGAGTTTATTAATTGTTTACAGACTACTGTCAACGAGATGGAATATCGTTTAGTATTGCTTTAAACAAGCAAACATGATAAGGTTATTATAATGTATGTTTAAAAATGTGACTGCTTCCGTTTAATGGATAGAGTGTCTGCCCGGAGAGCGGAATGTCGGTGGTTCGATCCCCGGCTGCGACATGCCAAAAGGCGTTAAAAGATGATACATTTTATCTCCCGCAGTAGGCATTCCAGGGATAAAACAAGGACTAGTCAGCTCGGAGTCTGTATACTGTGTCTGAGTGGGGTATTTATGTTAAACTGTGGCATGGTATCTCAGTATGGTATCACTATAAAACTTATATTTATTCCGGACTGGAATGCACGCACGCACGCACGCATATAAGTGCAATAATCTAGAACTTTGGAGTTATAACATTGCATTGCAGATTGCCCTTTGCTCAGCATTCATCATCGATGATGGGCAGACCTTCATGATCAGAGGAGCCCGGACGAAGGAAGGTTTCCGGGGCCAAGGGTTCTACGGCAAACTCAATAAATACGTCTACGCCCAGTATGGGAAGATACCGTCCATCAAATATGACGTGATGACGACCGGCAATCACAACTACGACGCTAATAAAGATCGCCTGTTAAGAAAACACACAGAATTAAATAGAAAGGTTAGTTTTAAAACTCGTACGAGAGATTACTGATGACAAACATGCAACATAAAACAATGGGATTTTTTAGGATATTACAAAACTGGAGCAGAACCATAAACTGTGTTCGTATTGTTGCAGTGAGTGTCTTTTTGATGTACTTGGCCATATTTGAATAACGTTTTCTTGTCAGTTAAACAAGCATATCTTGACCCGAAATTACATGTGTCCAAAGCTTTAAACGCAAACTAATAGACCCGGGGTATTCTTATTCGTGTGTCTTTGAATACGTCTGTTCGTTGTTTAACGCCGCACTCAGCAATATCCAGGCCATATGTCGGCGTACTGTAAATAATTCAGCCTGGGCCAGTCAATCCAGTGATCTATATCGTGACGACGCCGAACAGCCAAGTCACCGAGCCTGACCGCCCGATTCATTTCGTCGCCTATGCCGACCATCTTAGGTTACTGGGGACCTGTTCTAACCCGGAACAGGGAAGTTCATAATGTAATGCTCGGTGACTTGGCTTATTGAGTCTCCTCGTATCCTGGGGGGCGCGGGTGGCCCAGTCGTTAAGGCGCTGTGCAGAGTTGCGTCCCTTGGGCACGCCAGAAACCTATGATTGTGGGGTCGAATCCCGGTCCTCCCCGATTATGTTTCTAGGTTTTTCAGCACCATACCCGTGCTCGTGGGGTTCACCGAAGTGGTAAACGTCTTAGACCTGCATCACTTCGGGCTTTCCTCGAACATTAAGCTGACACGCCATGATGTAACTGGAATACTGTTAAAAGCGGTGTTAAAATCCAACTCACTCACTCACACACTCCTCGTATCCTGATGGCTCGTAACATTCCTGATAATAATATCAATCACTTCATTGTCTGGTTCAGATTTGGCTATTGTCATGTAACGGGAATATTAATGAGCACGACCATGAAAGAACAGGCCAAATACCCACAAATGTGAGTAAGGTGTGGTTCAGTGGCTCTGTGTGAATAGCTTCATCCCTCGGTCAAGTCAAGCGCCATCGGATATGTTTCTAGTCCCAGTTTCATCACGATCCGTGGTTTGTTAGCGCCATACCTTGGCTTCACAAAATGTTCTCATTTCTTAATCTTCTCTTTTCTTTTCGTTGAAATGGTAAACAATTGTAACCGGAATACCATTAAAACTGGCTAGTCGTGATATTATTAAAATATACGATTCAGAGATGTGTAGACGTCAAATACCATATGGTGTACTTGTAAAATTCGATTTGTGCTAGGTATTGATGCTGGAAGGTAGTTTTAAACTTCTGTTACCATGATAACTCTACTGTATTTTGTAACACTGTCCTCCCTGAACCTATTGTATATTACATCCACAGAGTCTGGTTCATGGTCGATTCAAGATGTCAGACACACATGTTCGTGAGCTAGAAGGACCATATCCGGTCTTGCAGGAAATGACGTCAAGTGATCTACTGGACCTCTTTGGTTCTGAAGGATCACGCAAAAGTCTTTTTCCAGTGAATAAAATTGTGATAGATTGGATACCCCTTCGCTTCCTCCCCAGCAATATGAAGTACATCTTGGAGCCGGAAGCACTGTGTCTGAGGTCAAAAGGCAATAACGGCGAAACAACATTACTCACGTTTGGCACGCCTAGCAACTGCGAGCTGGGCCTCCGGTACAGCATGGATATATTTGGAGATGACTTCGCAGATTTTCCGTATCACGTGAAACGGCATATGAGTCACGTGGCCACCCTGACGCAAGGTTACGTGTTCCTGCAGATGGTTATAGAGGAGAGGTTCAGGGAAAACGCCGTCAATGTTCTCCCACTTTTAAACCTCCCACCTTTCGAGTTTTCATGGACAACCCAGATTAACTTTGAAACTACCTTTAAAGTGATAAAATGATGAACCCGCTCTGACTGATGATGTTTTTGCAAACACTTGCTTTTATCACTATTTGATAGTGCTTCATGACCACATGCTTATGCTTTGTGCAATGGGCTCCGCTTTTAGAAGAGATTCCATATGCTTTGGGAAAAGTTTGTATCAATGCATTATATTGTATGAATAATTTTATTTCAGTAAGTGGGCCATAGAGAATATTACACTCATAACTTGTCAATAACTTTGTTATGATAACATTGAAGGCCAAACGAACTGTAGATGGAAGTTTTGTTTGTTTGTTTGTTGTTTAACGCCGCACTCAGCAATATTCCTGCTATATGACGGCGGTCTGTAAATAATCGAGTCTGGAGTCTTTTTTCTGTTTCTGTGCATTGTACCACATGTCCCCTTATTTGATAGATTGATAAATGATTTAAGTTATATAGGCGCGATCTTTAAGCATAGAGCATTAAGCATGGGGCACCTTTCTACTTTATGTTTACTGCACGACATCAATTAGTGCTTCTCGTTGTTCTTCGGACTGAGCAGCAAACACAAACTCGCATATCTAATAAAGATTCTGAAGGTTTCTTTCTGCTCCCGAGTTCTATGTTTATTCTATGATCACTCAACCTATCATATACGGCCCTGCAATTCGCTGTGCAGCGTTGAGTCCATTGGGCACTTCAGAAACCTATATTGTGGCTTCGAGTCCCGGTTCGCCCCGATCATGTTTCTAGGTTTGTCAGCACCATACACCTGCCCACGGGTATCACCAAAGTGATAAACGTATCACTGGAATACTGTTCAAAGCAGCGTTAAACCCAACACACCCTGTCACTATTGGTGGGTGGGTGAGTTCGGTTTTACGCCGCTTTTAGCAATGCTCCAGCAATATCACGACGGGGACACCATAAATGGGCTTCACACATTGTACCCATGTCGGGAATCGAACCCGGGTCTTCGAGCTATCGCTTTAACCACTAGGCTACCCGACCGCCCCCTTTCACTATGGAGCTGATCAGTACGCATGATAATGATGAAGAAAGATTGTAACATGTTAATGTGTACGGTAACCTCCGAATTGTCAGACATCCCATTTGTCAGACAGCTTATACCAGGATTAGTCAAGGTTGGTAAGTCAAGCAATGGTAACCTTTCATCAAAGTGGAACAGAAAACACACATTTTGAGGAATTTACAGGATAGGTTTATTATGCACCTTTAATCATCAAATCATACCAGAAATTACACTTTTTGAAGTATTCATTACATAATTATTGCATTATTGCCGTTTCATCAAAGTACTGACAAACTTGACAGGAGTCTGATCTCTAGGTGGGTGGCAGTGGTCCGAGACATCTTTAAGGAAGTCCCCAACAGTGGAACATGCCTATAATACATTTCCCACGGCAGGTCTTGATGATAAATCACCAGTGTGTGGTCTGGCCTGGTCGATTCTAAGAGCAAGTGAAACCATCATTGGAAAAAACTTCCCCTAATCTTTGCTAATAAAACACACGCAACCAGACACAGATCAATCGCGTAGACGTAATCTGGTTAATCTGTATCACTTAACGAGTTTGAGTAGGATGCTCTGCCCACAGTTGGGAGCAGCTCATTAATTAGTAGGTAAGACAAGGCAGTTACATTGGCCACACTTGACTGGTCTCTCTGGCGATTGGGTCGTCTGACAAATGGGATGTCTGACAATTGGTAGTGTGCACATTGTTTCTTATTATCACGTTAACACTTCACCTAGTTCATAGGAGCTTTCGAAGTAATGATGAGACCAGAAAAACAGTGGTTGACATTACGAGCATCGTTCTATGTCTTAAGGGTGCCATGACAAGCAACCAAGCAAGCTTCGATGGTAAAAACGTTTGCAGTTTTGATTTCCACAGCCATTGATACAATGTTGTAAATACGGCAAAAAAAGGCAACTGGTTTTGTTCTTTAAAAAAATACACATGAAGATATACTGCACAAAGTCTCGCAAGAGGGGACCCGGCGTTCCTGTCGTCAGTGCAGAATTGCGATTACTGTCCCCCTGGCTCTACAGAAACCTATGGTCGTGAGTTCGAATCCAGTATTTCCTTTGATTATGTTTCTGGGTTTGGCAGCACCCTAGCTGTTTTCATGGTTTTAACCAAACAGGAAAACGTAGTAGAACTGCCTTCTACCACATCTTGCTGACGCGCCGTGATATCACTGAAATATTGTGCGTGCAACCAAACTCACAAACTCAGTCACCCTGATCTCACTCCCTCGTTCTGGCGCTCGGCATTGAGGGGCTAAAACAAGGACTGGTCGGCTCGGAGTCAGTATACTGTGTCTGAGTGGGGTATTCATGTTAAACTGCGGCATGGTATCTCAGTGTGCTAGCACTATACATCGGCATCAGTCCGGACTAGGACCGGCAGCCCCACACACATATACACGTGCATGCACTTCGCTGTATAAGTGCAATTATCTTGGACGCAACGTTAAACCCGGTTTCACCTCACCTCACTCCCTCATTCAATGCACAGCCATAGAGAATATGGTACGTTTGCTTCGGACTGAATCGACACGCGAGGGAACTGACTACCTTCAAATTCAGGTCAGTCAATAAGCGAGACAAGCACTCAGGCTACTGTGGGGACAACTGATTGACGTGACCTATTTGATAATACTGGCGAGGAGAGCAGTCTTGCATTTCCACGTAATAGAACACTGTTTGTACTCCGTGCGGATATACATGTGTTTCCGAGGGTATGTAAGATGCGGCTCGGTGAACAATTGACTTGTTTTTTCATGTGTTTTTGAGGGTACCACCGGTGAGGTAGGGTACGCTCCGCTTTTCGCGGACTCCCAGTATCATCACTATTTGATAGTGATTCATAAACACATGCTCATGATACAGTCGTTATCGTACAATCGAATCTGATTGTGAAAGTTTTCTTATGAATATGGAAAAAGTTTTGTCACATTTATTTACATCCATTCTTCTTCCAACCTTCGTTAGCGATTCGCTGTGCAGAGTTGCGTCCCTTGGGCACGCCAGAAACCTATGATTGTGGGTTCGAATCCAGGTTCTCCCCGATTATGTTTCTAGGTTTGTCAGCACCATACCCGTGGTCGTGGGTTTCACCGAAGTGGTAAACGTCTTAGACCTGCTCCTCCCACCTGCTTTCCTCCCACATTAAGCTGACACGCTACTGGAATACTGTTAAAAGCGGCGTTAAACCCAACTCACTCACTCACTCGTTACCCTGTCTGTATCATCGGTACCGACAGTGTGCAATCGGTCATGACACCATTCTTGTAAATCTTCCACCTAACCCCAAATGTAGCGACATGTACCGTATTCGTATTCGGCGCAGTTGCCCACCACACCACCCCAACCCCCTGGATTTTTTTATAGAAAACAGTTTTATTTGAATCAAGTTGGGGACAAGTGATACTTGTACAAATATTTGCTCTCCCTGTCAAAAAAAAGTTAATTAGGGCCTTGGTATTTCGCATCGCGACCGTCATAACTTGTTTGCTTCCATCACAGTCAGGCGTTGCGAGTCCCGCTCCATGAAGGGTTGCAGGCCGCCAAGCACAGTGGGGAGCTGTGACAAGGTGGTAGCGTGTTGTAGAGAGCTCCGCGGACGGGACAGCTTAAGCGCAGTCGTTTCATGAAGTCAGGTGCACTTGTCAGCTATAGTCATGCTGTCCTGTTCAGAACAAAAGTTCACACATGTGAATGAGTGAGACATTTTTACTCCGTAATAATCCTGCCGTATCACGGCCGGGTTCGCACAGTCACTATAAACTTTAATTATCATTTCATACTGAGAATATGTTTTATCTTGTTTTAAATGTAAACCATTCATATTATTGACATGCGTCAATGTCACAATCACACAAATCTACATTTCGTAGACAAGTAGGAAAACCTATTGCACCAGAAATTCAACTAAATTAATTACGAAATAAAGTTCCTTTGGTGCGAAATTCGTTGTGTCATGCTGAACAAATATATACGTCCTAACATATGTTAGAATGCCTCAGAAAACTATGTGCTCATTTGGCAAAACAAACAAAATGCCATTGTTTCACTCTTATTTTTCACATTTAGACTATCCTCTAACTGAGCTGTAACTGATTGCTCACATGTGCACGATCCGTGAAGATTCCGGGGTAGAATAGGATTTCAGCAACCCATACGCTGACTTGATTGATACATGTCATCGATCCCAATTGCGTGTCATGGATTGTCTGATCCAGACTCGATTATTTTACAGACCGCCGTTAAAATACCTGGATTATTGCTGAGTGCGGCGTTAAACAACAAACAAACAAACAAATCCCATGTGCACATCATGTTTCTTTGTAAATAAAATACGGTGTAAACATGGCCAGACAGCACATGAAATCTCGCCGCGAAATACTTCGAAATTAAAAAAGAAAGGAAATATTTTACAAAAACATAATAACATTATCCGAGCATGCATCCTACCAGACATCTTTGTCAAACAGCGTTTACACTTCGCTCACCACGGCGAAGATCAGCGTTCGATTCACAACGTTGATACAGCACACGAAACTCGTTACTTACCACTGAGCCCCTCAACAAACTTTAAAAACGCAACAGGTATAAACCCCCTCTCATGGTGTGGCCGGGGGTCGCCAGCGTCAGAGAACATTGCCAATGCCATTTCGTAACATGAGAAACGATTGCTGGAAGAAGCCAAAAATGTAAAACTCATGCAGGCCCGCTATGTTGTTTTTGTTTTTGTTTTGTTTGTTGTTTAACGCCGCACTTAGCAATATTCCAGCTATATGACGGCGGTCTGTAAATAATCGAGACTGCACCAGACAGTGCAGTGATTGACACCATGAGCATCGATCCACGCAACTGGGATACGCTGGCATGCACCAAACAAGTCAGCGAGCCAGACCCGCTATGTAAGTGCAAGTATCTTCAATACGCCATTAAACCCCGTTTCATTTCATCTCGCCTCACTTCATATCACTGGCGTCAGATCAATATGAGGCAACTCAGTCAACTGCGCGTTGTTCTGCGAGCCGTGACGATGACGTAGGGACAGCGTAATCCGTCTCAGTTTGGAGTATAACACAGAACACGGAGACAGTCGGCTCTTCGTTTCTTCAACTTACACTCCCCCACAACGGTGAGTTGTCTTTAGCCTTCTTTTCTGTTCAATGTTTGACAATGTCATAATGGTAGAGATATTTTGTTTAATACGGATGAAAGAACCTCGATTGGACAGGTAATGTTGTTCAGATGTCACTTCACACGCGCATCCAGGGCGTGGTTCAGGGGTGGGGGTTCCCCCTTTTTAAAGCATAGTGATCATGTTGACGTATATAAAAGACAAATAAAAACAAAGGGCTTTATAATTCTTGTTTTTAAAGCTCACCTTGAGGTTATAATGCGTTAAAGCTGTGGAGTTATATATTCTGCAAAGACAAACTCGAATATCTCTTTCCAAGTGCAGTGAGAGAGATGCCAGCATCAAATATTAATGTCACAATCAATTGTCATATGTGAGTAACTTCTGCCTTATACCGAGAACCTCTCATTATAACGCAAGAGTTTGATGTTACTGTGAATTATATCCAGCGACCAAAGCCAATTCAGTATCGCCCATTTGGGGTGTGTCTGTCATGTGTGCATTGTGTCATCTGTAAAGGATCCCCTTAAAATATATATGCTTACATTTTCGCTTGCCAGAGTTCCGGCACATTAACTATGCATTCTGTCCTTTTTTGCGCATACAGCAACTGAGTGTGTGGTTATGAATGGCTAACTTGATTGTCTGAACATACATGTAGGGACAGGCTAAAGATGTACGGATTCTAGTCCGTGTTTCATATGGTAAATCAATGACTGTTCACCGTTGCACTAATAAACCCGGACATTTCAATAGAGGTATGTTCTGGTATAAAGGAGGACAGATGGTTGTTTTTCTTGGTGTGTTTTTAACGCCGCACTCAGCAATATTCCACCTATATGACGGCGGTCTGTAAATAATCGAGTCTGGACCAGACAATCCGGTGATTAATACCATGAGCATCGATCTACGCAGTTGGGATCGATGACACGCATCAACCAAGTCAGAGAGCCTGACCATCCGATCCCGTTAGTCGCCTCTCACGACAAGCATAGTCGCCTTTTACGGCAAGTATGGCTTGCTAAAGACCTATTCCTCCCCAGGATCTTCACGGGTCAGAGACGACAGAAGACATCGAGCACTCATTGGAAGTTCTGCTTTATTCAACAAGGAGGCTTACATTATTGTGCAATTTGGTTAATTCACTGTTTTGTCTAAACACAAATGGGGGGGGCACGGGTGGCCCAGTCGTCTAAGGCGCCGCGATTCGCTGTGCAGAGTTGCGTCCCTTGGGCACGCCAGAAATCTATGATTGTGGGTTCGAATCCCGGTTCGCCCCGATTATGTTTCTAGGTTTGTCAGCACCATACCCGTGCTCGTGGGTTTCACCGAAGTGGTAAACGTCTAAGACCTGCATCACTTCGGGCTTTCCTCCCACATTAAGCTGACACGCCGCGATATAACTGGAATACTGTTAAAAGCGGCGTTAAACCAAACTCACTCACTCACTAAACACAAATGGCAGTTGTGATCAGAATTAGAACTTAATTTTAACATTTTACGTCACGTGTTAGTTATTTCGTCCAGTCTGTTCGTGTCTCTCGATGACTTTACCACCTGGAAAGACATCGATGTGCCCGCCTCCGTGGTCTTGTGGATCGCACGTCTGCCCGGAGAGCGGAAGATCAGTGGTTCATTCCCCTGTAGTTGGCCACGTCATAGCCAACGACGTTAAAAGAAGAAACTTGATGTTCCCCTGCCTGTCAAAAGGATAAAACAAGGGTTAGACGGAATCAGTATACTGCTTGTGATTGGAGTATCATTAATCAAGACTAGTACAAGCAGACGTACGCACGCACCTATATAATTTCAATAATCTTGAACGTGACGTTAAAACCCGTTTCACCTCACCTGGTGATGAATCACGTTTTTTTACATTATCCACATGACCACTGACCGCCCAGAGTGGTATTACACGTATTGTGCGTAAAAGAACCAAGTGTAAAACCAACAAACAACCAACAAGTGGTATACAATCAGTGGACTAAGTACCATGAAGACATGAATGACATGGATTACATGAACTCTGATATCGTGGCAGGGATAAAACCAAGGCAATTGTCAGTTTGCTTGAAATTGAAGCAACAAACTGCATGAATCTGAATGGTTTGTTTGATGAGCATTTCATATGTGCTATTCAAGGATAAGCTGCAATTACAATAACAGTACACAATAGAGCGGTGGTACAATATCCAATGACAGTATATACTATGATGGTAGTGGACAGTTACAAATACACAAATAAAGTGGTGATAGCAAATGTCAGTGAAAATAATTTATATTCACCCCGCGGGGACAATGGTGAAGCTTCCGAGATAGGCTAGGCAGGGAATCAGGGACGAAGAGCGATCCTCACATGAAAGCTGGTTCCGAAGCGATGAAAAGCCTGAGACATACGTAAACAATCTCTTGTCCCCTTATGTAGTCTAACTAGATACTGGAAAGTCCTTTAACATACTGTCACCGTCCGCGATAAACGGAACCGGACTTTTACACACCACACTAACAACTAAATATAGCAACTGAAATATAGTAGTTCCTGAAACATCTAGGGGCGTCATCCTATTGTCATCAGAAGCTTTCCTTTCTCAGGATAACCTGATCTCCAGGCTACAGAAGTTGTTTATGATAGAGAATCTTCCAGGAATTTTTTTTATCTTGCCTCATCCCAAGAACATTCTATAGAATGACCCGGTGAAATTGTACAGAATGCAATCAATGTATAAACCGAATACAACACGTTTCATGAATCTTATTGTTTCATTTTAAAAACAAACGATCGTCACATTTTACGACATATCACTCTGAAGACGACATTTGATTTGTCATTGTTCCATCTGTTGTCCCCGTCTTTGTCCCTACCATCATTCAGCAGAGCCTTGTACTGCTCGAACAGACGTACGTAACAGCGGTCAGGATGTTCTAATTTTTTATTGGCACGAACAATCTTGCGGGGTTTCGATGTACAACAGATACCATCGACCATTCTGGTCCTCATGTGGTCTGGTTATTTGCGGGTTCCTGAACACCTTAAGGGACTTGTGCTCCTTTCCTCCTTCGGCGCGAAATGCAGACCTATAAAAATATACTTTAAATGTAATCATTTTAATAATGAACACTTGCTGTGATGTATCAAAATATATCATTGCTTTAGTAGGTCAAGACAAACATTGAGTTATTTTCCCTGCAACACAGAAACGAAAATAGAGTCATTGCATGTTTTTCAGAGCCATATCTTTTTAACACAGGCAAATACACAAAAATACAATTTACCTGTGTGGTACAGAATTGTGTCAAACAGTAAAAAGCAGTTGTCTTGGTGTCTGTTCCACCAGCACCCCACATTCCTAAAGCAGGTTCTGTTCCTTACATATTTCAGTATTCTTTCAAGAAAACCTCTTTCCTCCAGTCAGTGTCGACTGCCTCCAAACTCATGATATTGAAACATATCTTTGTGGGAATCTTTTCATCGAATAGCCGATTTGAGCGAATGTGACGTAAATAATGTGGATTAGATATGTGTTTCAAGCTTGCGTTCGTACTTTGAACAAGACATATTTGAATGCTATACCGATGTTTTCAGAGCCCATTCCCAACAGATGCTGTCTCAAACAATTCATTAGAATATCCACATTGTAAATGATTTATTTTTGTCTTCATTGCCATCTTTGGAAAACCGCGACGACCCAGTTGTTTCGTACTTCCTCAACCTGTATCCATCACGCTAGATTGGGTCACAAACAAACCACCTGTCTCCTTCATTCATCCCGATCGTCGAGCGCTGTGCTGGTACTTCGCGCTATATGTGATTCCCCACGGTGACGGTAATGAGCCGTATAATGAAACATAGACGAAGAGCGTTGTGTCAGTTTCATCGGTTTGTTTAATTTTTTTTTACGGTTTATATTTATATGTTTCGTCTTTGTCTCTCGGCCTATATGGCAGATAAATCACCAGTTCTATCGTGAAGGATAAAACACCACTCCGGGTTTTGGGTTGAAAATGTAAAACCTTGTCAAAGGCCCTCGTTTTGCATTTTCACCCCCAACCCCCAAGTCGTATTTTATCCTTCACGTAGGAACTGGTCTAGATATTAACGAGTACCATATTGACATGGAGTCATGTGGAATCGTTAATGGGTATGTTGGTTGGTTGTTGTTGAACGCCGCACTCGGCAATATTCCAGTATGAAGACTACATCCGAGAGGTCCGGGGTAGAACAGGTTTTCAGCAACCCATGTTTGCCGTAAAAGGTGACTGTGCTTGTCGTAAAAGGCGACTAACGGGATCGGGTTGTCAGGCTCGCTGATCATGACTTGGTTGATGCATGTCATCGATCTCAAGTCGATGCTCATGATATCAATCACTCTATTTACGTCATATAGCTAGAATATTGCTGAGGGCGGCGTTAAAAAACAAACTAACCAACCAACTGAAGACTAACTTTCTCGCTAAGAAAGTCAGAAGTGAAAGCTGGTGGGGTGTGTGGGGTGTGTGTGTGTGTGTCGGGGGGTGGGGGGTGGGGGGGGTGGGGGATGGGGGTGCGTATGCCAGGTAATCCCAATGCTACTGAGGAACACATGATTGAAGAGGGACTTAACTGACTTTATGTTTCCACCGTTGCCAAAGTAGGCTGCAATTTCTGGGCTTGACCGTAGCGCCATCATCTCTCATTTCATTTGCATTTGCTTAAAATAAAATGGCGGCGCCCTGTCAAGACAATCTCATCGGAAATCAAGACCTTTTTCTGCAATAAAATAGGTCTTACTTCGTGAACTATATCAAATCACTTGAGCACCCTCGATAAAAACATGAAAAATAATGAAAAATATGTCTACACCCGGTTGACGCCACACATGCTCTGAAATCCTGCAATCGACCGAAATATGCATGGCAGTCGCCTTGTGTTTACGAGGTAAATGTCAATTTCGTTCCGCGACCATGCATAGACTCGTTTGTCTAGCCAAAAATTAAAGCCTAGTTCGACAAGGGTGGAAACTGGACCACTACAGTGTGTTAACTCCCTTCCCTCGGGAAGATGGGCGGCCATGTGTTTGTGGGTGGAGCGGACATATACTTGTGGGTAGGGCGGGCATATGCTTGTGGGTCAAGTGACCATATGTTTGGGGGTACGACGGACATATGTGTGGAAGCCGGGTAGACATAACGAGTGACTGAGTGAGTTTTGGTTTACGTCGCTTTTAACACTATTCCCGCATTATAACTACGATGGACACATGAAATGGGCTTCACAGATTATGCTCTTGGGGGAAATTAACCAGGCACCTCAGTTATACATGTACATATGATTAATGTAGTATATTCTCGTGTGTCCATATAGTTCGAGACATATGACATATTGTTTAAAAGTTCTTTAAGTATTTATATGGTTTGTTCGTACCGTCGTTGTATTGTTGTATTATAATATTTGTCTCACTGTCAACCCTCGGCGTAAGGCAGATGTCCAACCATCTCATCAGGCAGGCGACAGTTGAAGACTTTGATGGCGTCATGAATATAGGTGACGTCTACTTTGGCTTGGACTACCTCCGACACGTTTACCACACGATCATGGACAACCCCAACGCCACAGGCTACGTCTACGTTATTGGGGAAGAGATTGTAAGTAAAATGTTGGGATAATTTTATAGCTACATTGAGTTAGAGAGATAGATAGACACGTGGTCGAGAATTATCTCGCTTACACCACGGCATGGGATCGAGTCATGGTAAATATAAAACACCAACGCCGGAGATAAAACGAGTCTCTGAAACATATTCCATTTGCATGGGACGTAAGTATATGAATGGACCACTGAATACCAGTGATGACAGTTGGTGTTTGCGAAAAGGGTTAGCATGTCCTACCCTTCCTGTACCACCCGCAATTCACACCATTTGCATAAAAGAGCAAATGTTTGTTGGTTGGCTGGAGCTGCGGATCAGTTTGTTTGTTTGTTTGTTTGTTGTTTATCGCCGTACTCAGCAAAATTCCAGCTATATGACGGCGGTCTGAAAATAATCGAGTCTGGACCAGACAGTGCAGTGATTGACATCATGAGCATCGATCTACGCAATTGGGATACGATGACATGCATCAACCAAGTCAGTGAGCCTGACAACCCGATCCCGTTAGTCGCCTCTTATAATAAGTTAAGTCGCCTCTTACGCTTGTCAGACAATCAATGGACCAGAAAATCCTGTAACGAGGTACTGCATTTACTGATTTTGTTGAAACTTAAAACGGTATTTTCTTTGTAATTAGGTCTGATGTGTATGAAATGCAGAGATTCGGCTGCTTATTATAAAACAAAACAACGTTCAAGAAACATAATCATTTTGCAACACAGTGGGGTAGTATTAATATCTTGACCCAGACATTTCTTTTGAATTTGACAACAGTCAGATCAGTTGAAGCCTCTAACATGGCTGATAGTGTGATAGTGTGAGGTTATCTAAACGCGGAGGTAATAAGCCCCCACACACACGATGTGATCATCAGGGTCACAACTGCCTCTTAATGTTCGAGGGTGATACAAAAAGAGAACCTCACCCTCGTGTCTCTTGATAACAAACATATCAACACAAGTTGATCAAAGTGGAAAAACTCCGAGACTTTTATCAACAAGTGTTTGATATCAAAAGATACGAGGGTGAGATCTTATTTATCATCCAAAATCATTCTTCCCACTTTATTCAGTTTGTAGACAGTAATAAACAGTGTCTTAGTGTAAAAAGTACTGATAACCGCTTCAGTAGCCATTCGTGATGTCATTTGATTGTTACGTCATGGTAACGAATGACGTCACAAAGGTCTGCAAAGCATTGTGATGCAATTTCGTTGCAGCGATATCTACAATGTATATATCGATTGATCTCACCTAAGCGATATCTCCTGTGGGGGCCAGTTTTGGATGATAAATTTCAGTAATCATGCAGATGGAACATAAGCATTGTTATGAGAAAGTGATAAACAAAATCATTTACACTGCACAATGTAGATGTCGTGTTGTGAACTTCAACAGGACTGGCCACGTAAGTCATTGTAACCTGGCAGTAAAATGTGAACATAATTCAGTTTAAGCGTATTACCTTTGCCGATAGCGTCGGCAGGTTCGTACGTGTGATAATTAGTTTTTAGTCAAGTATAAAAAAGACTAGTTATAACCTTTAAGTAGAAGACAGTACAATGTTCTGGAACCTGGGGACGAGGCGATGGGTCAAGGCCAGAGACTGTCAAAATGTTAGAACAATTTCAATTTCAGCCAGTAAAATCATAATAAACAGTGCTCTTTGGTACAATTAACAAATTTCACTTATGTCGTTTCATGGATATTACACTTTTACACTGTTTAAGGCAGAAGTGTCGTAAAGTGATCAATAATTCAAGTTTAATATTGTATTATCATCAATTCTTATCATAAACCTACGCTTTAGCTAAACATGTCTGTTGTAATTACAAGTTATATAGTGATGGCGAAATTGTTACTGATTCTTGGTTTGAAGACGTTTGTTTAGTCCTATGCGTTTTAGCTTTTATTTAATTCCTTTTCTCTGCACGCAATTATTCGAGGGTAATCAATATATGAGTTTACTCATCACAGGAAACTGGGGGTTTAGGTCGAGATTGGAATCTAATTGGTGTTGGGACTATGATTATTTGAGATTTAAATTCATTTAAGTGACAGAAATGTATTGTGTGTTATGAATTTGATATACTTAAGTGTGAAAGACTGAGTTTTTCGAAGTTGAGAAAAGTGATATTTTCATTGTAGTGGACATAACATTTGATATTTCACTGCTGTGAACATAACACTTTGACAGAACTATTGTCATAAAAGAGTGACCTCCCCTCAGATTGTCTACCTTTGTCGTAAGTGTCTGGTCCGTTCACAAACTGTTGACGTCATTTTTACGTTAGTTCCACACCGACAAGGCAAAATAATGACAGATGGTTGTTTATTGGGTTAATATCGCCTCATGGCGTTTGTTATTCTCTTGAAAATATTCCGTTATAAACTGTTAATTGCTCACTTAATTCGTCAACCGAGACCGTTGGTTTCGCAAAGCGCCATTTTTGTTGCTTGACCAGTGTGTATTCTTTCGTTTCAAACAGCGTTCTCGAAGTTTTCAAGAATATATTTGGTTAAAGCTGATTTTGTGTATAATCATATCTATATGTATGATACAGAATTTTCGCGAAATTAACAATTACATTGGTGTTTAGTTGTAAGAAAATATTGCGTCACCATACGAGGGACAAGTTGAATGTTTTAGAAACTTTTCTAGCAAGCATTTCATTTTGGAGTTTAGAGAGTATGGGGGAGAGAGACAAGAGAGGTTTTGCCAAAGAAACACACAGATAACAAAAAGACAAAAAAAAAGCATAGCACGCGAAGAAAGGGGATTGGGATTGAGGGTTTAAGAAAGTGAGAAAGCAAACTTTAAGAATAGGAATTTTAAAAAAAACATATTCATCGATGGTGCTCATCTCATTCACCAGCCAATACAGGATACGGTTTTTAAAAGCTGCTATTTTATATGTAATGATAAGCGGTGCTTAATTAGTTGCTATGTGTAAATTACCAACGAGCCGTCGCGATGCCACATAAATATTTATTTGTTAGATATACATAGACGTCATTGTCACCGCTATTTCGCCTTTCACGCGCAATGGAATCTATTTCGGGGACTGATTATTCTCTGGCATTGATGTTTCTTATTATTGTGAGAATATGTTCAACAAAACGTACCTAAACTGTAGTCACATCACTTCTTGATAACGGTGTCAGTATCTACACCGAAACATCGCACAAAGAAGTTGTACATTTACAGAACTATCTTCCTTGTTATCAAAACATGGGTACAATGTCGGAAGCCAATGTATGGTGTCCCCAGCCGTGATATTGCTGGAATATTGCTAATCGCGGCGTAAAACCATACTCACTCACTGTTATCAAAACGTTATTTGAAAACAGGAGCCGAAACACTGCAATTTTAAGACGCAAAGCTCTAATCTAAGACTCGCCGCGAATAGCTGCAAAATTGCTGATGCGGCGTTAAGCAATATTCACTCACTCACTCACTCTAATCAAAGACACCCGTATCAAATACATCACCATCGAATAACCACTTTTTGTTTATTTCATTTTTAGCCCCCATAAAAAATGTCCCGTGGTTCATATAATACAGTTTCCATGAATATTATGTCACATTTTCAGATAAATGATACACGATTTTAAGAATCTTCTGATTCCACAGATTGGATTCACAAGCATTTACCGGCTTGACGATGGCAAAACGTTCTTCGTGAGAGCCAGCAGGATCAAGAGTGGGTTCCGTGGGAAGGGCCTTTATGGTAAACTGCTGCATTACGCGTGTGAGGATCATAAAAACATAGAATCCATCCAGTATGAAGCCATGGTCGTACATGGTGTCACCTACGAATCCAAGAGACTCAACCTTGAAAACAACCATACCCAGCTCGTCCAAAAGGTAACACAATCCATGTTGGTTGCCTTAGGTTGTAAGGTTTCTCATTTAACCTCACTGGACGTATGCACCTATAAAAAACAATACGTTTGGAATCTTCCTGAAATAAAAAAACTCTCTAGTTCTCGAAAGTAAATGATGAATTAGGCCTTAGGTCTTAGACGTTCAGACAGCGGCTCCTTGCATACAAGGAACACAACTTTGTTAATATGCTCACCCGAGACTCTGGAATCAGAGAAGGTAGTTACATTCTGTTTGGGTCCCTATACATTTTTTACACTTGCATTGTAACAGACTTCTTTCATTTCCAATTTATGCGCATCAATGACAAAAATTACGTGTGATGCAATTCCCTATTTTTTACAATATGTCCCGTGATATTTCATTTGCAAAATGTATCTGTCTTTGCATTTGTGTGTGACGTGTGCCACCGGTGGGGCAGGATACGTGTTCATAACCCCACTTTTTGCAAGCGCCTGGTATCATGACTATTTGACAGTGAACATGTTTGTACAGCTGCACATTCCTCCCCCATTATTTGTTTCACACAATTTTAGATAAACATGCATGTGTCGGCTTAGTTTAGCATATTACACGATATAACTTTGTTAGAGAGAGGTGTGAGAAGTCATGAAAACATAGAACTCCAGCATTTAGCATTCCTCGCCGCTTTTCTTTCTAAGACTCTCACGGGCGCTGACTCAAATCAACACAGTAGGCACCAGTATTCGTCTTTATACTTTCTTAGTAATCAACAAAGGTCACACCCTTTGCATCCCAGAATACAGTGGCCATAACTTTCTTCAAAGATCTTGAAGACTTTTTGACGTTTTGACTTGAGATAATAGTGGAAGACCAATGTTCCAGCACCAGTCCACTGATCTCTTTTAGAAATTGACGAAATCCTCCTCAATTAGCTCTAAATGTTCTATGTTAATGTCAGTTATTTTTTCCTTAAGATCAGAATTTAGGAACTTTGGCACCCACCAAGCAGATATCTGATTTATCTGTAAATATCCATGAATAACAGTTTCAATGGATCCATGGGTTGGACCTGTGTCTCCCTCAAGTTCAGTAATGATAATACGTCTATCTGACAGTATAAGTTTCTCTTTGATTCCATCTTCATTGATGGAAGTTGAGGGACATCGAAACCTAGGGTCATCATCAAGGTTTGTTCTGCCAGCCATAAACATAGCTGCCCAACGTTTAATAGTGGAATAGTTAGGAAACCTATCCCCATACACTTGTGACATGCTGTCATGAATATCTTGGGTAGTACTTTTCTTTGCTCGGTACTCGTTCCTTTCCATTTCTTTGTCCTTTTGGACCCCTATCACGTACACCTGGCTGTCACTAATATACAAACGGCTTCAATACACTTTCAATGAACTAAAATGCACTGCATAAACTAGTTCACTTTGTAATGGCCCATAGTTGAAAGTTAGTCAGGCTTAGAACCTTTTGACCAGCCCTGGTATTCCTTTAGCGTGTGTGCTACATATGCATTCTTAAAATATAGTCCAATTTCATTTAGTCCCGGTCGTGTTTTATATATCACATGTTCACAATTTCAGTCGGTCCTGAATTATCATTTAGAGCTGGAACGAATGAAAGTCCCTGGGCAGCCTTTGGATGCAGTTCTTGAGACGTTTGATTCGGCGGAAATGACGTCTTTGTTTGTTGACAAGAAGGCATGTGAAGCCTTATTCCCAAGTGGAAGAGTGATAACAGACTGGGTTCCTCTACGTCTTCTACCCTCAAATATGAGGTATATCCTGACAGCTGGTGCCACAGCTCTAGCGTCCAGGGACGAAAACGCGAGAGTGTCGCTCCTCACCATCGGGACCCCAGTGCCTTGTCAATTAGGACTCAGATACTGTTTAGACATTTTTGGAAATGATGGCACGGTGTTTCAAGAACACGTCATACGCCATATCGAGTATATCAAAAACATGACAGATAAAAATACAATGATAGTAATTATGATAGTAGTTGATCCTTGTTTAGCCAGTGTTGTGGACAAACAGTTGTCAGATATGGATATTCCTCCCTACGACTTCCATCCCAAGAGTATCACGGTATTTGAAGATAGCTTCAAGTGACTTTACTATTTCAGATGTTTAATTACACTAACTGTGAAGATTATGACTAGGGCGGAGTGGTTATAGTTCTACTTTGTATAATATCATGATAATGTCATTGCATATGAGAAGCCAGATAGTTGTTGACCGTTGAACGGAATTCTTATGCTTCTGCTTGGTATAATGATTCTCATGCCATGGTCTCCTTTCTGATTGGTCATAGCTTTCAAATCACAATGGCACGTCAGTAATTTGACGCTTCACCCATCGCCTGTGAATACACGTAAGTAATTCGTCCAGTGGTGGGGACGCAGTGTGTGGAAAAGACGAATGAAGTACCTGCGAATACTTTCCTATCAAATGGCCAATGTGACGACACCACTGTCATCACGAAAACAACTTTGTATTCAATCACTCGGTATAGGAACTATCACAACGATTACGTCTTTATGTATCAGGATAACTTCACTTGTGTTGACATCAATGTTTCTAAAGATTGTTTATAAAAGTGGAATTAAGTTATCCATCTGTATGTTGAACTAACATTGTCAATTGTGGGCATAACCTGCCCTTACTTTCCACTCAGTAATGGTCTCAAACTGGCACTTCTACGATAACTAAACCAAATAGAAAATGACCGGGTGAGGATCCAACTCACAACCTTCAGATTGCTCTGACATTGGACGTATGACTGATTAGGAGACTGACGCGCTCCCGGTGCCTGGTGTAGACGGCGGGGATTGGGGTTCATATTTTTTAGAACTTACTAGTATGCGTCAACAAACGGGTCCATGGTGGAAACTGTGCTTTTTTAAGTGCCATATGTTGGACTCGCCTAGGTTGTGGTAGAACCCTAATGAAAGCTATAATGTGTATGCCCATAAACGCCAATTAATATCCTGTTCTTGAAAGAGATCATAACTAGTGTCCTGGAAGAAGTAAATTACATCCCATTTTTCATGCCACCCAGTTGTGAGCACACCATGTGGTATGGCTCTTCATATATTCGATGCCTGCATTTGTCACATATTTTGAGAGTAGGATATTTTTCAAAGATGCCGACGCAGAGGTAAAGTATTCCCTTGTAAAAGCTTTTAACAAATGTGGTGATGATAAATGAAGAAAAACAAGAAATGCCCCGGGTGAGGATAGAACACAGCAAAAAAAAAGAAATTCCGGTATCCGGATCCCTTCCGGATACCTCCGGACACTTAGCCGAAACGCATCCGGGTATCCCGTGGCAGATACCTTGCTGGATACCAGATCTGTGGTATCCAGCATTGGACACCTCATCACTGGAAAACATGCCTCCTGGAATCTGGGTATCCGGCACCGGATACCTCAACCGATATCTCAATCTTGGTGTCAAAGGATCAGGTACCAGATAACCCACCGGATACCTCATTCTGAGTTTTTAAAAAATGCCACATTTTGGGGGGTGCATTTTGTTTAATTAAGTGTGAAACACCTAAAAATATATTTGAAATTAACCAAGAAAATTGAACATTGCTGAAGATATCCGGAAGGTATCCGAATGCAATTTTTCGATATGTCTTTTTTTTCTAGTAAATAATGTTAGCCTGGGCATATCAGATAGCTGTAGTGATATTCTGTGTTATTTCAGTTGTAAATATGCCCTTTAAGTTGAAATCGATGGGCATGTACTTTTGGAGAATACAATTTTTCAATTTCATCTATGATTACTTTTAGATGTTAAGCTGTTTAATGAACAAACATCAGTTCTAATACATGTATGATGATTACCAATAATTCCATGTTCAGACTTCAAGTTTGTTCTGAGTGAAAATATAAAGTCATCGACTGTGTGCTCACTTGGGCCTTTGGTCCTGGTGAGATGATAATAATAATTTTTGTAACGGTACAAGTACTTACCAGCTGCATTGAAGTTTGGAACACAATATGCCTCACTCTGAGGGTGACATGTACCAGATTTCATCGCACTACAGAGAGCACTTCCTCAGTTACTGTGAACATATTTACTGAAAGACATTGAAAGTTAATTTGACCTTCAATATCAGTTGCGACTATTTCAAAAACTATTGTAAAGGGCTTCATATCACTTATACCACTTATGAAGGCCCTAGGCAGAATTATATGCAACAATGAAAATATGACTTATGCTACTCATTGAAATTAGGTGACTGTGATTTGTTACCACTGCTCATACATGAGTATCAATTCACATAACATATAATACTGCATGCATAATAATTCACAAACATCTCCAGAAATAGGCATTTTAGGGATAATGGAAAAAGTAATTTATGACCTTCACTATTGCTTTGATATTAGACTTCAACCCTTCATGAGTCATCACTTTTGACCTTGACAGTGAATTTGACCTTCAATATCAGTGACAAATGTTGCAATAACATTTCAAATAGCTATCCAGCACATAAACCAAATAGGATGTCCTTTGATGGAATTCAAAGTAACATTGACAAAAAAATGAAAATGATATACCACTAAATGTATAAGAGTTATTTAGACTTCTGCAGGAAAAGGCACGTTAGAGAAAAATTAAGTATATGTAGGTCATACGTGACCTTTTGCCAACTTCTACCCCTGCCCTGACGAAGAGTTTGGCCAAAAGCAAACTTTTTTGTCTGGCTATGACATTGACCTTTGACATAACAGATCAATGTGTCATCAGACTTTCCCAGAGCTAAGGAAACACATGTTATTCCTGGCTATCAAATTGAGGCAAAATCTTGGAACATCCCCATTTACACAGCTGGCTAATGAAACAACAAACAATTATCAATTTGTTTTTATTTATATGCTTATACCGCCTATTGTAATGTGTTCACATGATGGTTCCTGGTGCAGTGTTCAATTTCCTCCTATTCTTCAATTCTCATAACAGAGCAGGATAACTGTTCGCTTGAGTTAAGAGTTACCTGCCCTCAAACCTCCTTTTCCTTCTATATTGCCATGGAAGCACAGAAACCAGGATGAGGGGATGCCAGATGGGCTCTATCCCTATTGCATTGTGTTAGTAGAATTGGGAATATTCTTTTCGGTGTATGGGGCCACATTTATAGACAATAAGTACCATTCATCATTCCTTTCAAGTGATTACCACATGGCCAATTTCTTCAACGTCCTTGAAGGGTCCCACTCCAACTTGTCATTGGTTGGTCTTCTCACATAAGCCAGACCAGCCTTTGTGAGTGTGTCCCAGTGCCACTTGGCATACAACTTCTCGGTCGGCCTCCATTGAAATAACAGGACTCTCCTCATCGCTGTCTGCCAATCACTTCTAAAATCTGGAGGGGTCCTTCCAGACTGTCAACCTGGAGTACTCATCCAGGGATCTCAAGTTGGACTTCAGTTTCTGCAGAATTAGGTATAAAGATTGTAGCAATGAAAAGGAATTGTTGCAACATGTACTTACAGATAGAAGGCAGCCAATTCACTAATTTTATCATATATGAGTCTTGTTATATACCAAACATTTGAGATATATATTGTTACATGTTGATGAGTTGAAACAATCATCAACTGACATCTCTTAATAAGCTAAAGTAATAATTGAGGTAGTAAGTGGGCTCATTGGTCACTCGTAATCGTACCCCAATGACGTGGGATATTGTCCATAACAGTCATCATCGTTGTGTCTGAATCAAGTTCATAACAGTAATCACTGGTTTGTCATATAACCGAACTATTGCTGGATGTGGTCTTAAATGAGTGAGTTGGGTTTAACGCCACTTTGAACAGTATTCCAGTTATATCACGGCGTGTTAGCTTGATGTGGGAAGAAAGCCCGAAGTGATGCAGGTCTTAGATGTTTACCACTTTGATGAAACCCACAAGCAAATGTATGATGCTAACAAACCCAGAAGCATTAATCGGGGCGTACCTGGATTCAATCCCACGACCATCGGTTTCTGTGAAGCCCAAGGGATGCAACTATGCATAGCAAGTTGTGTTACCTTAGATAATTGGGCCAACCATGCCAACACGGTGAAAAAGAACAAGCAAACTGAAGAAATATTTGCAGAATAGCTACATGAACATGATGAACCAAACAAAATAATTTCAAATATTTACCACTCACTGCTACTCTTCTCTTGTTCTTCATTGCTTCTCTTCCATGGGCTTCTCTCTTTCCATTGATGCTGTGTAGATGACTGACTCTTTTATTCATCCAGACATTCTGCAAACATAAGTAGCATTCACATTACAGAAATGTCCAAACTGTACATGTTGAACATTGGATTCAATTGAAAAGACCCCAGTTGAGATTCCAACTAAGAACGGTCCTTATTAAAATATTTCATGCCAAACATTCAGAGATAAAACTTAACCCCATATTTAACAACTGTCAAACAATTATTCGACAACAAAGCCAGGGTCATTCAACACAAACTTTACATAGGGAATCACTTGTTGCAAAAATATCCTCGCCAAGGTCAAAGTCATTCCATTTGAATTATTGAGTTATGAAGCTTATACAAAACAAGGACATAACAGTGTAATCATTATTAAAATGTCTTAAGCGTCAAAGAAAATAAGGTCTTTGTTGGCAATTCTTGTACATTATCGTCTGTGTTAGCATCCCACGAAAGTTTAGAGTTACTAATCGTTCCGAGATATTTGTAATTATTAACAATTTCAATTTTCGTCATTATCTATCAAAAGCGGATCTAATTTGTATCACCTGTTTTGACCACAAATCCATTACGACCCTTAAGGAAATCCTCGTCGTCATAACAAACACCCATTTTCGGTCCTTGGGGTTAGCTTGCTTTGGGCAAGGGTTAGCCATATTTTTTTACCTTTTCAAGCGTTAATCAGCGTTTCAAATGGCGCCCTGGACCGTATGGGGATTATGGGCAAAATTGCTTGTTCCGGGTTAACACGACAATGAACTAAGCTGGTTCACGGCTCCCTATGCGCGTCGTCAAGTTGCGCCAAGCTATATTGTGATATAAGGGACGGGGCCCAGCTTAGACACTGAACACGATAGATCATTTCTGCAGCAGTTACGGAAAAGGGCGAGGTTTGCCGAATACAGTTCACCGATGGCCATATTAGGAGCAGCGGGGAATTTGACAGTTGTATGGAACATGTTTTTGCCTAGCGTGCCAGCAATAAGGCACTGTGGCAGAGGGATATCCTAGCGGACCTGAAATTCCTACAGCAGAAATGTTTCACAACCTCGTCAAAATTGGCCTTATGTTGAGATTGCAGCTGAGGTCATGCTGGCAGCTGAAGTGATATATTCAGGTAAGAAATATGTGAATATTACAATGATCACGTATTGAAGTCATTTACCACCTGTAAGCCACTCCCTTGTGACACATTAACTTTTAGAGCCTACATGTAAGTAAATGTGTGATTTTATTTTTATAGGACAAGTAGCCTGTCTATCATATGTTAGTATTTGCTTATGTATATGATGTAGAAATATGTTTTACTTTAACTGGATACTCTGTATGCTGATATGACTCATTGTCTTATTTCATATCCTCACTTTACTCTGTGAGAATGATTACTAGCCTCAACTTAT